GTGTCTGTGTGTGTGTGTGTGTGTGTGTGTGTGTGTGTGTGTGTGTGCGTGTGCGTGTGTGTTGTGTTTCAGTCAGAAGGAAAGAGGCTGGGTCTGGTTGGCTGGGTGCAGAACACTGATGCTGGGACGGTCCGAGGGCAGCTGCAGGGTCCGGCCTCCAAACTCCAGCAGATGCAGCAGTGGCTGCAAACCACCGGCAGCCCTCAGTCACGAATCGCCAAAGCAGAGTTCAAGAACGAGCGGCCCGTTGACAAACTAGACTTCAAGGGTTTCAAAGTTGTTCGCTAATGACAGAACTCAATTAGTATTTATTTATTTATTTTATTTTTGACCTATTGTTCTTATTGACATTATATAATCTCTGTTCTATAATTTCAGAGTTCTGTGTTCTGTAAAACACTCTCATCCTGATGTAATAAATAATATAATAGACTTAATGTCCATGTCCAGCCCTGTTTCTTCATCGCTTCGCTTTCATTCACAGATTATTGTTTCTTTATTTCAAAATGTAATACATGGTAGTTTTGTTTTGACGAAACGTCTTAAAATGCAACAGTAGCGTTGACATGATAAATTATGTAAGTTATGTGAAATCTAAAATTAAAACATAATTTTTGTCATTTTCAAATAACTATATACCAGATCAATTTGTGAAATTATGCATGATGTATTTTTTGTAGTTTAATATCAACAATGTATAAATGAAAATGAATTCGTAAAGGAGGGTTTAAATGTGTGTCCCAGTATAATAACATCATTTTCATGTGTCAGAAGTCTAATTGTAGACATATAGATTAATGAGATGATCTGGTAAAAGCCAAAAAATACAATTAAAAACTTCTAAAACACAAAAAGAAGTACAATCGGGGATAAACGATGAGGTTTATCTTTGCTGGCCCTTGACTGGATTTTTACTTCCCATACCAATATTCACTTGCTCTCCAAAAAAAATAAAAAATTATTATACATATGTAAGAAAGAAATACAATTTTTTTATAAAATATTAAATAGAAAAAAAATAAAAGGCCACTGTAATAGCTGTAAATTACAGGGCTGAAAATTATTAGACCCACTTTTGATATAAAAATGATCGCGTACAATGATTTGGTTCTCATTTTCAGTTCACTTTCACACTAATCAATTGTCCTGCGTTTCCCAAAAGCAGCTAAGTTCCGTCGTTACCAATAGAGTTCAATGGAACTAACGACTATAGTTAGCTAACTAAGCTTTTGGGAAACGCACCCCTGGTGGGTTACTAAACTCAGGTGCTTTCACAGTGATGTATCACTAGAGGTCGCTGAATGACCCATTGTCAGATGCTGCATCACACTGCCAACAGCTACGGTATATTGGAAAATCACCAACTCTGAAAATTGCTGTCAGTGTGAAAACCCCTTTACATGAAGGAGATACCGTAGCTTTATCTCATCACTCCTGGTTTGTGGACAATCAGTGTTATACGAGATGCAGCACACACGTCTGCCCACTTTTTGATTGTCAAGATTGCATCCCTACCTTTTGGCAAATTATTATTATATTTAAGTGTTTTGTTTTGCCTGGTTGTGTGAAGTACAAATACAAGTCCTCTAAATATCATATTGCTTCCTGGTCTGAATCAGGAGAGAAATCTGCACAGATCAAGCAGAGTTTACAAGCCAAAACAGTCTAAAACAGCTCTAACTACTGTGTGTGGATTTTGATGTGAGAGACTTTTTCACTGGAGGAAGAGTTATTATGGACTCGTATTTGAGTTAAAAACGTCTTAATGCTGGATGTGTTTCAGCTTTTGTCTTCTCCAGATGTTAACTGATGGACTGGAGTGCTGTGGATTACTTTGTGATGTTTTTATCAGCTGTTTGGACTCTCATTCTGACGGCACCCATTCACCTGCAGTGAGCAAGTGATGCAATTCTACATTTCTCCAAATCTGATGAAGAAACAAACTCATCCTAATCTTGGATGGCCTGAGGGTGGGTGAATCTTCAGCTCATTTGCATGTCTGGGCAAACCATTCCTTTAAGTTAGTTAGCATTGGATTGTGGTTCCATGTTGGCAGATATACAGTACAACCATGTGTTTATGTAAAAGTTGTGTACGTATTTCAGCACTATAGTGTTGCTTAGAAACAAGTAACACTAATTATCCCACTGCATCAACAAAACTAAGCTCGTCGTTTTGAGGACTGGGTCTCTGCAGGCCTATTTCCTCTCTTGAGTAAATTCAATTTAGATTTTGGCTGAAGGTACATCATGATGTGGCACTGTCCATAAAACATGCATCTTGCTCGTATGTTTCATGTGTACATCGAGCAGCGTGTCTGCTATTCTCCCAGAACCAGGACTCAAGGATGAATGGATGTATTGTGAAAGAGCCAAACATTCCAGGAAATGAGTGTTCCCCGCCCCCTAGTCTCCTTCCAAAGCCTGGACGGGACGCTTATTTTCTACAGGAGCTTTTTTAAGTCCCAACCAACCATATGGATGCCTGCACCAACTATGAGACCGAATCCATTTGATGACGCCAGTACTATAGCAAATGGCTGAAGCTTGTGCTTCCTAAGGGCTTAAAACATCACTTGTCATTATTAGTGGAGCAATCAGATGTTCATAAGAAACATGGTGACAATAGGCTATATTATTGGTAGGTGGAGGTATACTTGTGGTGCCTGACCTGCCAATGATACAAAGATTTGCAGTGAAAAGACATGTAAAGCATGTGTCAGACGACTGAAGGCATGCAGATTGTGAGCAACACGTTAAACAGCAAAGTTTTGATCATAATGAATCAAATTGATCAAATTTGGCTATCAAATATGAAACAGTAGGCTTTATAGGGTTAAGATCATTTCATAGTGTTAGTCAAACCTTAGACCATATATTTTCCATCATTAATGTAGGCTATAGCCTTATATTTAGGCTATTTTTAGGCTACGCATTCACTCATTCTAAACAAAGACAATAATCTACCTTTTTGCTTTAATGCCACAATAGCCTATACCTTCTGGAATGCTCAGGGTTACGTGAATAACATAAGAATAGAACACATTAGCATTTGGCATTCAAATAAAAACATGCTTTTTTTTCTATACAAATTACACAAATGCCATTCCACATAGGCTACATTTGTGGTTCACTGGGAAAAATGTCATAATGCCATAATCTGTGGTTATACACTGGGTAGGCTATGGAACCTTAGTAATGTTGTGCTGTCTGCGCATTTGCGCTACTGACAGGAGTCCAGAGGAAAACGCAAATGCACTGCACAAAACCCAAAGCAGCAGCAGCTTCAGTCCAGACACACGCTCAGCACTGGAATCCCAACACGTATTTATCCTTATATGGGCATTTTCCTGTTTGGCAGTGTTACGTCACTGCGTGACGCGCGAGCAGGTGCAGATGCTGAGACTGGAGGGGTCAGGAGAAAGAGACGGCACATTAAATATACATTGCATTATATGCGACTGCAACACGCATTAACGAAATACATAGTCAGTAATAAAAAAAAATTATATTGAAAAGCATCAGAGTTGGTCCAATATCAGTTTTGTCTTTCTTTCACTGCCTCATTTTCACATAGGTTACTTTGTAACTGAATTATACATGACATATAGGCCTACATGATATAATATACATTATACTTATACATAACATGACAACACAAGACCTGATCAGATCGAAATATAGTGTCGAATATTTAGGTGAGCATCAGAAATGATCTCGTTTTAAAGTACGTCATATGCATAAGTCATGCATAAGTTATAAGGACGTTATGCATGTCTTTATGCATATCAGGGTCCATCAGAACTTTATGAATGAATATGTGGCACGGACCACAGTTCGTCCTCACAGGGGTTATCGATACCCTGCGCGCAGGTTTACTACAATAACCTCTGTTTCACTCGACATTTTAGTTCAGTATGGACTAAACGATAATATGCGCGAGTGTGCTCAGAAAGCGCAGTTTTCCCCGCGTGCGGAATGGTACGGACCGTTTCATTCATAAATCCAGGCGGACTATAAATACGCGCTCGCGGAGCTGAGTGTCACTGAGCAGGTTTATAAACCTGTAGAGAGCGGCTCCGACGTCACGAAGCGCATCTGGATCGTAAGAGCTGGAGAGATGTTTCTGAACAACGCGAAGACTGATCCGGACTCCTCATGCTCTTCTGCCGGGGACAGACCTACCGATGCCCCGACAGACAGCGGCACACAGGTAGATGCTTCCACTTTCATGAGTTACATCATAATAAAACACTGGTGTGCATGGTGATTAATTGCTAATATATCATGCAAATGTATGTTTCTGGGGGCTATTGTTTCTTATTCTGAAAAATACAATAGATATCCTATTATTATTATCCTGAAGTATTTTTAAATAGTCATATTTACAAGATTTAGAATAGCACGCTATTGCAACGCGTGCACTTCATCTGTTTATCTGATGTTGAATGTGATGTTTTGTCGCGCATCCTTTGCAATGCAGCGATGGTAAAGCACTGTGTAAATGCAGCTGTTCATTGAGAAAAATAAATCCATTGAGGAGATGCCCACAGCAGCCCTGCGTAAGCATTGCCGTCAGAGACAATGCAAAAGTTAAATATTGATCGGGAGACTATTTTTAGACGCTCGAGCGTATTTAAAGAAAGCGTCTTAAGTGTAAAGTAAAAACAACAACGTACGGTGAATTTAAAAATGATGTTTGAAAACCTGGTTGTCCAGATGCACATAAATCAGTGTTGTGTTTATGTCGCTAGAATTGCATATTTCCATCGCAATTGCAGGGCTCGTTCGTTCCGACGGTCACCGCGATCTCCAGCACGCCAGACCTGCAGTGGATGGTCCAGCCGACCATCATCACGTCTGTGTCTCCGTGTCTGGGTACAGCCGAAAGCAGTGAACCGGCAAAGAGCAAGCCAGCTGGGAACAAGGGCAAATGCGCTGCCAGAAAGAGCAAGAGCGAGCAGGTACGTATTTCTGCACTCGTTGCGTGTTTGGCGCGCGTGATAACCTGTGAAGCGTGATTTGGGGATGCAGTTCTTGCTTTGGCATGTTGCCTAGACCAGCAGCATCCGTTTTATATTCAGGTCACAGCAAGTCTGCAACAATAGACTATTTGTAGACGCATTGCAGAGAAAGACGTGCGTGCCATTGGGGTGAACTGGCGATAGAAGTCAAGCGTTTCTGCAAGGGATGCATGGATTCTTCGAGATGGTAATAAGTGCAATTCGTCTTTGCTTTGACTAGCTCTCTCCGGAGGAAGAGGAGAGGAAGAGGATCAGGAGAGAGAGGAATAAAATGGCTGCAGCGAAGTGTCGCAACAGACGGAGAGAACTCACAGACACCCTCCAGGCAGTGAGTACAGACATCACAACATAAGGTTTCATTCTGAAAGCTCCAGCTCGTCCCAAAAATGAAAATTCGCTCTGTTTACTCAGCCA